ACGAACAATGGGCGGATGAAAGCAATTCATTTACAAGGATATTGTTTTTGAATCCAGAGTTAGACACAGTTTTATTGTGGATGCCGGTAGTGCTGAGTCCATTATTTCACGCAGATCCCTTAAACATGTTTGCCCAGAGGCTACCATAAAACCGACCACATCACAAATCCATGGTATAACTGGACACCTTCTTCCGCTTTTGGGTGGGACGACCTTGTCTCTTCATTCCCAGGATAACAATTCTGTGCCCATCTGATTCTCTGTCCTGAGACAGTTTGTCTATTATTTGATTGATGGCGACGAAAAAGCTGGGACATTCCTTATCCCCATATACCAATGAACTAAAATCCAATTCAAATAAGAAAGTTAGAAAGCTGTTAATCCAATGTACCGTAAATGCGGGAGGAATGAACATTCCTGTAGCAGTTTTGGAGGTCGATGGTGAGCCAGTATTCCTGAAAGGACGTGTCTTACAATATGGACAACTCGAAGGTATGCTGAATACGATCGACCGAATGGAGAAGGTCAGGTCAGGTCAGGTTGCACAGGACTAAATATGGCCACAGCCAATCGAGCGTCCGGAATTCCTTCGATGGTATGCTTACAACGTGAACACCCAGCTCTGCTGAAATAAGAATGAGAAATAGAATCTCATCTCACCAAGTTGGCGAGTGAATTATTAGACGCGAGCATTCCATCCGTGTACCAGTAAAAAGGGAAAAGGAATCCTAAATATTTAGCACACCTACACTCGTCTACACTGCTAGTGATGGGAATAGTTCCACCCATCGCTTATCGACTGCAGTCTGAAATGCTTGCACTGTTTGGAGATTGACAATTTCCTTGGGAAGCCGGTTCCAACTGTCGAGCTTGAGCTAATGACCCCAAGTGCCGTGTTGTGGAGCTAATATGAAGAGACTGTCCGCTCCTATCCCTGATATGCCCTTCGTGATTTTGAAGGTTTCCGTCAGGTCACCTAGCAGTCTCCCTCTTTCTAATGAGAAAAGCCCTAGAGGCTCAAAACTTTCCTAATATGTTTTTCCCCTCTGGCCTCCAACCATTCCGGTGGCCAATCTCTGCACTTTCTCTAAACAGGCAGCATCCTTCTTGAATAAGAGTGCCCAAACCTGTACACAATACTCTAAGTGTGGTCTGACTATGACTTTCTAAACGGGAATGAAGACTTCCAGTCGTCTGCATGTTAGAACCGACCGTAGTCTAAATAATTCCCCCTAGCCCTGCGCGCCGCTACTTGACATTGGTTAGGTCACTTAAAGTTGTTCGATATCATGACCCCCAAGTCCTTGACCCTAGTAGCGGGTTTGATAGCAAATTCTTGCAATCCGAGTGAACTACCATTCTGTCAACTGCCCCTGTGAGCAAATGACTCTTGGTAGCGTTAAGGCTTAGGTCCGATTCCTTTGCCCATCTAGCTACCTGCTCTAAATCCCGCTCCAAATCACTTCTCCCATTCGAACCAACCACTTTGACGTCATCTTCAAAAATGTAGCACGACGATGTCAGAGTGCTTGGCAAGTCGTTTATGTAGAGAAGAGATAAAAGCGGTCCTAATACCGAGCTTTGTGGAACTCCGCTAGTCAGATGAACTGGTGTGGACCTTTTCTCACCAACTGACACATAGAATGATTGTTGTGAGAGAAAGGCACTTATCTACCTGTGCAACTGTCCTTGGATTCCAAATCGTTCTAATTTGGTCAACAGCAGGCGATAATTCACTGAATCAAAAGCTTGCTGAATCCAGATAGCAAACCTCTACGGCTTTGCCCTCATCTATTTTTGCAGTAACATCTTCCAAAGGCACAACAGATTTGTTAGGCATGAACGTTGCTTAACGAATCCATGCTGTGCCTCTGTCATGAGTATGTTACGCTTCAGATGCTTCACTAGATGCGTTTTAACCATCTTTTGTAGCACCTTACATAGTACGTTAGTTAAACTAACAGGTCGATAGTTCTTAACATCTGTCTTCTTACCTCCCTTGTGTATGGCTACTACAGAGGCCGTTTTCCAGTCAGACGGTAATTTCCCTTCAGCTAATGATGTCATAAAAAGGTTGCACATCGGCCTTGCAATCAAATCAACAATCGGTTTGATGATCACTGGGCTAATTCCTTCTGGTCCTGTCGCTTTGGACACCTTAAGAGAGTCTAGTACCTCCGATACTTGATCGACTGTTATCCGTAGTTCCTCCACTACGTCTGTCTCCGAGGGCTGAGAGGCACTTAACTTACCAGTGTCTAGCCCTTGCACGCTACTAAAGTAAGCGCAGAGTGCATCAGCTTTACTCTGGTTTTCTGTTCTAACCCTATCTCCCTCAAGTACCAGTGAGCTCATTTCTTCTCTGGTAGATCCCTTTGACTGGACATACCCGTAGTACCTCTTTGGCTCCAGCTTTACTTTCTGGGCCAGATTCATTTCGAATAACCTTTTTTTCTCCCTCACTAGGTTAACCACTGCATTTCTGTGGGCAGTGTACTGAACCCACGACCTATGGGTGCCGGCTAGTTGGTAGGCTCGCCAGCTTCGGTTCGGGTACCTAATGATTCTGGTCACTGCGGCCCGCCACCATGGCGGTTTTCCCTTGTATCTCCTATATCTTAACGGAGCAAAAGGATCCTGGAGGTTGAGGAGGTTATGTTTGATCAACACCCAGCATTCCTCGACGTCTGTGATGTCTCGCTCGGGAACCCACTGCATTTGTGCGGTGTATTCCCGAAGCCTACTTCTGTTCATTCTGTAAAATCCCTATGCATCTGTAGTTTGCGTACGGGTGGCTTCGTACGGATATTGACCCCGATGAGGAGGTGATCAGTCTTTCCCATCGATGGATATCCAGTGACACTGATTACATCCTGCTCCCTTTTTGGAGATAACAAAATCCAGTAGCGACGGTTCTTGCTGAGCTCTGAACTTTGTGCAGAAAGCAACATGCTGGATGAGTGCCTTCATGTTTATCCACTCCAAATACATTTCTGCCTGACTACCTTCGGTGCACCTGCCTACCATCTAATCTATATCGGGTAATTTAAAGTCACCTACAGTACAGATTTGCTCAATCTTGAACTAATCTAGATCCATCTAGATCCAGTACACTGGTCAAAATGCATAGCTGATCAGTGGAATAGATAATCCTCCAGTGAAAACCTGCACTAGGGTTGTCACCCTTAATACTGAACATCCCAGCTCTGTCATAGGTCTGCAATTTTTTTAAATCCCACCCACTCGCGTGGCACATGCTGACCAGGCAGCAGTGTTGAACTTTACACCCAATCTAGATCCATTACACTGGTCAATGTACATGGCTGATCAGTGGAATGGATATTCTTCTGGTGAATACGTTTTTTACATACGCAATTTGTTTTTATGCCGTAGTGATAAATCGGATTTAATTAGTTCGCCTTTTTTGACATTGCATTGTCTGTCTCGTTGCAATATTTGGTAACTCTTTTATAGATACCAATTGTAGTCGTCTACTTGGTTGTCCGGAACATCTTGGATTAAAGTGCGCGATAACTTGCATGCTTCCTTCCCTCCCACTCCCTCATCAGCTAGGTTACAACCTAGACTGTTTTGCGTTTCTGTCTTCCTTTCCAGCGATCTGCTGCTGTAAAAAAAATAAAGGCGTCTTCCGTTAGACTGGCACGATATCCAGTGGTGAATTTATTCGGAGGCGTAGACTGTTTTGCGTTTCTGTCTTCCTTTCCAGCGATCTGCTGCTGTAAAAAAAATAAAGGCGTCTTCCGTTAGACTGGCACGATATCCAGTGGTGAATTTATTCGGAGGGGGCGTCTTGCGTTAGATTGGCACGATATCCAGTGGTGAATTTATTCGGAGTATTACTGAAAAACCAAAAGCAAGATACAATCAATCTTCCAATGACTGGGCTGCCTTTCCCATCATGCACACTCCAAGTGACCACCACTTCTGTCTATTCCAGTCCAACGATCTGCAGACTGCCTCTTGTTATTTTACTCACTGATTGTCGTATTTCCAATTATCTCATCATTCATCCGGTATAACGATTCTTGTTTTTTGTCCTACATCCACCGACTTGCTCTTTTGGTGCATTCTGCCATCTCGATCCTTATTCTCTGATACCTTGTCCACTTTGTGTTCCATTTGTAATTATGTTCAATGCGACTTTCAAAGTTTTCCTTTTCGGCCTCTCATACAAGGATGATTATGTGGTACATTTTATCATGCCTATGCATGCTTCACGGCTCTCCGTGAAATATACACTTATTATTATTATTATTAATAGACCGAGTGCATCAATCAATGCCCGGTCATCTGTGGTCTCAGCCCCGTGATATCGGTAGACACACGCCATCGTAATTTTGCTATTGGGGAACAGCAGAGTTACGGCACATAGTTGGACACTGTGCAGGTTCACCGAAACTTCGGAAAACATGTGTACAATGTTCTTCCTAATGAGTAAGGCTACTCCTCCTCCTGGTACTAGAGGCCAATCCTGCCTGTGGATGGCAAATCTTTTTAGCACTAAACCTGATGCCCTATCATGGTCCTTTAGCCATGTTTGCAATACAGCTATTGCATCTGCATTCAGGTCACATGCTGCTGCAAGGAGTTCCATCCACTTATTTCTAATACTAGTGTCATTTCTCGAGTGACATCAATGATCATTATTCATGGGCAATTTGGATTGTTGTTGTGATGAAAGGTAATGGCAGAACTCGGAGAATATGTGATGATCACCGATTGACAATCAACCCCCAATTGCAACAACCATGGAGACGGAGAATTTCATGAAACCCCTACACGGCTGTCAGTTTTTCTCCAAAATTAATCTGGCAGATGCCTGTGTTCAAACTCCATTGCATCCAGAATAGCGGGCATTCACGACGATCAATACATCGTGGGGATTGTTCCAGTACAACTTCCTCCCGTTCAGTTTGCATGTATCTCCCGGAATCTTGCAGTCCACAACAAGCAATGTTACGTCTTGGTTACGCGGTGTTATGGCATATCAAGACGATGTGATTGCGTTTGGAACAAAGAAAGAAGCACATGATAACAATTTGAAGAAACTTCTTGAACGATTCATGAAGGAAAATGTGTGCATTAAACCATCTAAGTTCATGTTTGAATTGACGGAAATGGAGTTTCTGGGATTAAACATCTGTTCCAAAGGATATCGACCGGATCCCAACCGATTCAAACCTCTAGTGAATATGAAATCCCTGAAAGATCAAAATCGTCTACGATTAATTATGGGATCCTTCCAATATTAATGACGATTTGTTCCTAATTTCGCCGCCAGGGCCAAACCTTTGTTTGTCGCGCAATCCGCTGCGGACTGGAATTGGACCGCGGACTGCGAAAGAACCCTTCACAAATTGATACGGAACATCACTCCTAGCATCATTTTCTCCAACAAAATCAATTACAATGATGACGAACTCGTCCGAGGTGGGCATTGGTGCTGTGTTGGAGCAAAAGGAGCTTCCTGCGATTTGTTTCTCTCGATTGCTCAACTGTGCTGAGAAGGGGTACTCGCAGACCCAGAAAGAGACCTTGGTGGCGTTTTGGGCTGTTCGGATACTGCACAAGTATTTGTTTGAACTGCACGTTACTATTGTGACGGATTATGAGGCACTACAATTCTTATTCAACACCAACAAGTCTATCGCTAAAGCAACAGCCACCATGATTCAACGACGGAGCATTGCACTATCAGTTTAAGATTATGATATTGTACATCGGCCGGGCAAGACGATTTCGCAGGTAGGCCTTCTATCCAGGTACTCACGCATCGGTGCCGCAGGGAAATGTGATTTTGTCGCTCAACTGTTACGTTTGGATTTTACACAGTGTAGTCTCGGATCTGTAGCCCGCTGGCAAAGTAGAACAACAGTACACAGGGTAGAATAGATTTATTATGATCGTTCACAATAAAGCGTATGTTCAATAAGGCAGAAATATAACTAACAGCCAATCAGGATCGGGCCCATGTCGGCCGGCAGTATCGGCATAGGTAAGTACGTGAGGTTGATTGATCTGAGTAGATATCAATCGATAATGTCTGTTAAACGAGCAAATTATCAGTGCGCAGACTGGCAGAACGTACGCACTTAAGCCACAGGCACGTATCCAATACCAACCATCACCGGTTTCGAAGGATGCATTGAGAAAATATGCAAAACAATACTACCCTGTTATTATTTCGGCCCTATCGAAAGGATGGTGTGCTGATATAAAGAAGAGATATCTTCAGTGCTTCATCCATCGGGAGGAGTTGGTTTTGCAATCTGACCGTGTTCTCTGCCGTGGTGATCGACTGATCTTACCTCCGCTGTTCCGAAAAGCAGCCTGAAAGGACGTCCCCAAAGGCTATTTGGGAGTGGAGAAGATGAAAGTTCTGACACAACAAATGTGTTGGTGGCCTAATTTGGATGCTGATATTCGCACAACTGCGAAGAATTTTGAGGCGTGTCTGCACAAAGTAAAGGCAAAACCGAAAAACGGGACTCCATAGCCAGAAAGTTATGCACCATGGCAACGGGTACATGCGGACTTCCGCGGCCCATTTTTGAATAGATACTATGGCTTGGTTCTCAATAATTCCTACTCAAAGTGACCCGAAGTATTTCTGACAAGTACGCCAACAACATCCTTCGTGATCCAGGCACTCCTGAAGTGATTCAATCGGGAAGGTATACCGCAAGTGCTCATAACAGTCAATTGATCTCAATTCAGTGCAACGGAGATAAAATCTTGACTCGATTGCATTGGATGTCGACATTTCCGTACAGCTCCAAACACCCCTGTTGTAATGATCAGGCTGACAATCTTGTGAAAACGGTCACTGGCATCCGCGAATCCGAAATCAATTACGTACTTGGGAGCGTTTCTTAACAACTTCCAACTGCAATACCGAAACGCGACATTTGCAATTACCAAGGAAAGTTCGGCAAAGCTATTTAAGTCACGATGCCTGAGGTTCTCTCTGAGATGTATGGATTCTACCGATGTGATATACTTCAGGGGCAATGAAATGCCCCCGCTTCGTGGCATCATAACTAGAAACTTGGGTAAGTCAATCGGGAGAAAACCAATTTGACAGATGTATCTGTCACACCGATGGCACATCGACCAGAAACATTACACGGACAAAAGAACTGTCGGTGAATTAGAAAACCAAGAATACGATATAACCCTGACAAATTTGAACCACCTGAATCTGACGCTACGGTTCCTCAATTACATGATATTTAACAGAAAAATGCAGTGCAACCAGCGGAACCGCAAGCCTTAATCAACACAACGATACGGAGATCACGCCGCAAAGCAAGTCAAATTAAAGAGGCACCCCTGAGGAAAAAAAGTTATGGTGATCATGTAAAGAGTGCGCACGCACCACGGTACAGATTTCGGAATAACCGGAGGATCCTGTGGTCTCAGTTGGCACCAACCGGATTGTTTAAATGCAAGAAGGCAAACAAATATACCATATGGTTGTCGATTGGACATCGAAGAATCGACCAATGATTGTTTGTTGGTTGTGACATTTATTTGCATGATTTTCTAAATAGAATTAACCGTATCGACAGCTCGTTTCGGTTCTACGTGACTTTGCGCTATTCAGTGGGTTTTCAGTCCGATTCCGAGTTTGCGCTATTAGATTTCGATTCCTATTCCGAATACTACACTGGCGCAACATTTCAATCAATCCTTTGCCTCACCAACGCTGCCCTCCGACGGGACCATGGCGGAATTTTTTCCAATCCACAATGGCAGCTGCTTCTAACTACCGACCAGTAAGCCTGCTGTCATTAGTCCTGAATACCTTCGAGCGCCTTATTAGGGGAAGGTTGGTAAGATTTCTGGAACAACAACACATCGTAGCAGCTCAACAACACGGATTTGTTAACACAAATTCATGCCTCACAGACCTTCTTCCATTTCTCGAGGTCACAGAAACTTTGAACGTAGGGGATGGAGTCAAAGTGTGCAACCTAGATTTCAGAAAAGCCTCTTACTCGGTCAACCACAGGTTTATTCTGCGCAAACAGGATGCTCTGCGAATAAATCAGCAGGAAGTGAGATTGATTGCAGCGTATCTACATGAGATGTCTTTCCCTTTCATAGTGGAACAGGAATAATCGGAAACCGTGGCACCCTGTAGTGGGTATCCCAAGGCTCAGTCTTTGGTTCCATACTGTTTGTGTTGCATGTTAACGACGTTACTGAGGTCCTCCAGGGCCCCGGGTTTCTATTCGCGGATGACTTCAAAGCAGTGGGAAATCCATCATCGAGGGAAATACAGGGGGCACAAAATGCACTCCACAGCTGAGCGGACAAGTGGAAGCTACCACCCAACGTCAACAAAGCAGACAACTGCTGCTGAACAAGGGGAAAAGAGGTGCATTATCCATGGGACTGAATCCGCTGAATCCACCGAGGTGGTCAGGGATCTATGCCTACAAATATATGCATCCTTTAAACCCTCGATGCATTTTGCTGCAGCTGCAGTGAAGGCCATCAGAGCCTTATTCCTACTCTTCCAAACGGTAACATCGATGGAGGTTGTTGTATTTTTGCCACCGTACCAAACGTTTGTGTAACCACCTCTGAAGTACTGTGTACAAGCGTGGACCCTTCCTCTAGCAATGAATAAAAGCTCGCTCGAGTTAGTGCAAAGCAGGTTCACCAGAATGATCACTGGGATGCAGAGTTAACAATACACTGGACGGCGGGCGACCCTTTACTCATTATCACTGCACCACCGTCGCCTAAGAAGTGACTCGATTGAGATGTTCAAACAGCCCAAAGGACCGTTATTAGGTGTTGATCCGAACTTACGTGACCTCATTCCGAGCGAGACCAGGGTTAGCTTCATGTCCTCCAATCACCGTTCAGGAAGCTGGGCTAGTGGTACACCGGGCAAACATAACATCCGTATATGTGATGCGTCGGCGCAAACGGTTACGTGATTGGACGCCGGACCTTCAGTCAATTACATGGCCTACTACCTTCCATAGAACATGCTCTAATTTTATCAATAAACATAAACATCCGCTGCTATCAATTCCTCGTGTATTTCATTGATGTCTACAGTTCAGGTTGGATCCAACACAGTTCTGAGCATTACAGCACGGATTCTCGTATTCCACAATTACGCGTCGCGCAATGAAGATCCCTGCCATTGAACAATTGAACCTCTATGGAAGCCCATCGGAAATCGAAAAGTAGGTAGAAGTGTTTTGAATTATGGTGCAGCATCCGAAAGGGAGGAATGCAAAACCAATCGGTCCTATTTTTGACGTTAGGCGGTCGAGAGCTGTATTCCCTGGTGAAGAATTCAGCGTTCTCGAATGTTCCTGATGAATTGCCGCTCAAAAAGTTGAAATCCCTATTGCTGGACCACATTCTTCCAGTGGATTTTCAGGCCACTGAATGAGCCATATTCAACTCAATGATCACAGCTGCTAACATGCCGTGCCGTGAATTCATCCTTTAGTTGAATGAACATGCATCAAAATGCAACTATGGTAATCGATTGGAGGAACAACTTTGTGACCGTCTCAATGCTGAAATCAACAATATCTCGTCACAACGATATTCATTACTTTTTTGTTACCATACAAAAGGAGTCAGATCATGGTTGTGTTATGGATCCATCCAATCACGATTCTTCAGAATGTGAGTCTCAGGCTGATGCTGTCGGTGCGCCTCCCGCTGGTAAGTCTGACTATTATTGCCGAGACTACGCCAATGTTTATGTTCATAGTGACGTCAGGTTAGAGCTGAAACGTGCCCAACTCCAGTTGGAGGCAGCAGAGGCGATGCGTAGAGCTGGGGAGAGGTTACGCTATACAGATAGGACGGGCGTTATCGAAGCTTTTCGTTTACCTTATAATATAGACAGTGTTGATCCAAGATGTCACGGGACAAATGCAGATAGCGTTACACATGAGAATTTTCTTAACACAGCTCTTGAATTGGGGGTGAAACTCAGACTTACTGATGTCTCAAACCATCATTTGGGCAGGATTGATCTCATACTTAACCAACTCGAGCTGCCTAGGTGTAAGTTCTCTTATTTCGATGGATCATCCACACAATATATTCCAGTCTTGAGGCAGTTCTACGACCGTATCGCAAGTCGGGTGTCTGGAGAAGGCCAGAAGGTAACGTACCTGTAGCATTATTGTCAAGGGAAAACCAGAGAGGCTATTCAAGGCTGTTTACTATAAGCGGCTACAGAGGGTTATAAACGAGCTAGACAGGT